GGGTGGGCAAGCAGGGCACCAACTTAGAGGGGGTGCTGGATGGCAGTCTCCTGGGGAGTCTTTGATGTAGCAGCAGCAGCCATGGGCAGCCAGCCAGCCAGGTCTTCGGTTCCCCTGGGCAAAAAGACTGACCTCCCTGACATCCCTTCCCCTCTGGCACTTGCCAGCCTGACTCCCACAGACCTCTGTTCTCTGGCGGGTGTTTGCCCAGGGCGCAAAACTTGTCAGCTATGCTCTGCCAAGGGCTATATTTAACCTTGGTAGAACCCCTCTGGTTTAGCTTGCACTGATGAAAAAAATCTGACTACAAACTCTTTGGTTAGGGGTTGAAATAATCTTTTATAAACATAGCAAGCTGAATCAAAACGTAAAGGATTGTTAAGAACAGTTACAGCTCTTCTGGAAACTATTGCAATGTTAAATAGCCTGCCTGAGCAAACTCATAAAGGGACAGTGACAGGAACACTTAATCATTTAGCTCCAGCATCTTTTGTGTTTGTTAGTAACTTGGGAAGTCACTTTATTATGGGTATTCTAATGTCATAATTTTTGCCCAGCATAGCAGGTAATTGTTTAGATAAATCCAAACATAAAATCACAGCCAAGACATGCAAAGTCCTACCTCAGATTCTCAGTCTGGGTAGAGAAAACATCATGGTAGGGTTGTTACAAAGTAAGTTTTGTTTAACTTGGATGCTTTTTTAAAATGTTCTGCTGAGAGTCTGTGTTACTTGGACACCATGAATTTATACTGGGCTGGATTCTTTTGTGATGCACAAAAGTAAAGGCTCAGACAAGGAGAGCAGGGGGCTTTGGGTCACCCTGACACAACCTACATTCCAAAACAGCCCCTTTGGTGAGCGAGATTTGGCCTGTTTGAGGTTGCCGGTGGTCTGCACTGCAGCCAGGAATCTCCACAGGGCAGTGTCCACATCCACGCCTCTAACCTACACTAGACTCACGGTCTTACAAGCATAGATGGGGATAAAGCTCCTTGCACTGGTCCTGCAGCAAGGGAATTCGTCTTTAGTCTGTTTTGCAGCCTCGTTGCTGTCAGAGTGGGTACAGAGGATACAAGAACACTGTCAACCTTGGTGCTGTCAATCAAATGGGAAGTTTAAAAATTCCTGACTGGGCTTTAGTTTTGCACACTAATGTAGAGAGCAAAATGGCAAAGAAAACCCACAGCCTTTTCAGTAGAATTTTGGTGGAGAACATAACAGCTCAGACCAGGCTCTGCTTTTACAGAGTTTTGCTCTGGTGTGACTCCACTTGATGCAGTTACTCCTGGTTTATACCAGTGTAACTGAGATCACTCAAGTAAAAGGCCAGATTATGCTTCTTGGAGAGGTCCCTGGGCAAGCTCCTTAATGCCAAACAGCTGTCATTTTTTGTCTAACCTTTGACACTTAGGCCCCTGCCACATGCAACATATATCACGCAACTGGTTGGTTAATTGTGCAATAAATTTGGACTAGCCACACATGCAAAAACAATTATCATGCCATGAAAATGTCTATCCAGCTATAAGAGAGCTACAAAAGTTAGTGCTTGAAAATGTCTAACAACTATATATCTGGTTTCTATCCAGCTTTCATCTGAGTATGTGGCAGGGCCCTTACATAAGCAAATAATTTATTAATCATCCCTTGATATATACAGTTAATAAGACTGTCATAATAACAAACAAAGGAAGTGCCATACTAGATCAGATGAATGGTCAGTCTAGTCCAGTACCCTGTCTCTGATGCTTTAGACAGAGAGCATATGAACAAGCTCTATTTAGAGTGATGTTATACTCTGTCGTACTCTCCCTAGCATCCAACAACATTGGTTTAGAGGTATCAGAGGATACATTCCTTACTGTTCTATTTAATAGCTAGTAATAGATCTATCATCCATAATTTGTCTAGCCCCTTTTTGACCCTGGCTATACTATCTACTTCTACAACCTCCTGTGGCAATGGGTTCTATGAGTTAACTATATGCGGCATAAAAATACTACTTTGTCTTGTTACTTTTAAACCTGTCTCCTGCTAATTTCAGTGAGTCCCCATGCCCCACACCGCTACACAGGAAGGCAATTCCACGCCCCCCTCCAGTCCATGACAGTCTGACTGTGGGGTAGAATTCCTTCCTGATCCCAAATGTAGTAATGGATATGATCCTGAGTGGATGAACAAGACCCTCTAAGCAAGAATCTCTTGGGTTTTTAGTCCCAGCAGGAACATCAACATACCTCCATCAAGATCTCCAGCCTTGCCTGCAGGCAACACCCAGTGGAAGGTACGAAATCATTTTGATACCTGTAGCAACAGGAGGGAGGAAATTCCTCCTTAGCCCCAGATGGCAACCAGCAAAAGCCAGAAGCATGGAAAAAACAAACACACTACACTCTGATCTGCACCCTGGGAACACAATCCCACACTTCCCACACCCTAACTGGACAGCCAGGACTCTTTCTGTAATCTGATCCTCTCCATGAATTTATCCCAGTGTCTTTAATCTTTTATAGCTAAGCCAGTTGTGGAGCTCTGCTTTCTTCTCCTACTGCTGAGCAAGCCTTTTCTAGTTCCTACCTGCTCTGGGCTGCAGAGCTCGTCTCGTCATGTCCCAGCAGTGTGTGTGTGTGTGTGTGTGTGTGTGTGTGTGTGTGT